ACACCCACACACACACACACACACACACACACACACTCACACACATTTTATCTTTGTCGCACACATACACTGTACTAACTTGTCGCACACACACACATACACACACTGTACTAATATCTCACACACGCACACACATTTTATCTTTGTCACACACACACACACACACACACACACACACACACACACACACATTTTATCTTTGTCGCACACATACACTGTACTAACTTGTCGCACACACACACACATTTTATCTTTCTCGCACACCCACACTCAAAATACTAAAATTGTGCACACACGCATACAATAGTTCTCTCACGCATACACAAAATACTACAATTGCGCACATACACTACTAAAATATCACACATGCAAACAATTTTTTTTGTCTTAGTCACAAGACTAAGATTGCACATATAAACTAATAAAATATACTCATTATTTTGTATGTGAGACTCAGTTTTGTATATGTGAGAGCGACTAAATTTTTTCTATGTGTGAGAGGTGTCATGGAAGAGGAGGGGCATAATTTGGAGATCAGATCGCGCATGCGTATACCACAGTGAAGTTAGCTTCAAATTAGATATTGGAGCTCCATAGTGTAAGCGGCGTTTAGCTCAAGGTTAATCCGATTTATGAACGCTAATTTCGGCCAGCCGTTCTCCATCGCTGCCTCCTCAAGGGCTCGTCGGTTCACTTAGGGCTTGTTGAAGAAGAAGATTTTAGGTTAAAATATATTTTAGGAAAATCTCTGGCATCAGTCTCCATCAGTCTGTGAAACACCTTAGTGATCACAGAGAATCTAAGTAAATGGTAAGATAGGTAACAAAATTGTCAATAAATTTGAAAACAATAATCTGATTCTACAAATTAGAATGGACATGTTCTAAAACTGTGTGGCTTGCAGACTTCATGGTCAAATCCGCTGTGGAATAAATCCACAAACACACAACTTATGACTCCTCACTGCAATATCATTGAGTACAAGTCAGATGTTTTGCTTCAGCTACAAGTCAGATGAATTCATGATTGTCAGAGTGCTGTTTATTTTGGCAGAGGAAACGTTAGTTTTGGATAGAAAAAGAAGATACTGCTGCTATTTAACAGGTCTTTAAATTGGATGTAAAAAGGATAATTTATTGTAATCTAATACCTTATTGTGTCGTAATTCCTTTAAGGTTTTACTTTAATGAAATCATAAATGTGGTGACGTTGATTTCTGCAGTTAATGAAATTCAAATCCAAAATAAAGCTTGAAGAAAAGCCTTTTTTATCTCTTTGTTCCAAAATTCTGATCAGCAAAGAGGCTGAATAAAGTACAAAGTTGGGTGTGATCAACACCCAGTTCTTCACATTGACATTAGACACGAGAATTCGTTTTGGACTGGATGGGGATGGAACATGAAACAGCTGCTAGCTGGCAGTACAAACAAGTCCTTCCATCTTTGACTAGACTCAATGGACACACAAATTATGTGACTTTGAAATAATCATGTCAACACCAGTTACATGCATGACAGAGTTCACAACATGAATAAAGTGGTTAAGTAACTGGAAAAATACTCACAGGATCCAATCAAAACACTTCACTAGAAAGTTTACAATTCTCCTGTAGCTCTGATTGTTTGTTGATGGTTGTTGTCCTGCTGTAAGGTGACCGTTTAAGTTTCCTATTTCATTGTGTAAAAGAGGTTCTGTGATGCGAGATAAAGCCACTGCACTGCTGGTCAAAATGGGCAGAATGGTGAAACTCTTTCTTGACCTTTCTTTAGCCCTACAAACTGATTCAAGCTCGACAGTTTTTGTCTCTATTCTGTGATCTTTGTTTACATTTTTACTGATATGCTGTATGTTACAGTATAAATACCTTTGTCTTACAGAAGAAGCACCTATTTTAGGGGGTTGGTCTGACAGACAGCCGGAGTCAAAAGATGTTCAGAGGGCGGCTCAATATGCTGTGGAGATGTACAACAAAGATTCAAAGGACAAGAAGTTGTTCAAGCTGGTCTCAGTTACCAGTGCTAAATCCCAGGTTGGACTGATCTTCCTTAAAACAAATTAATGTACCCTATCAAAACATACTTCTAATCACTGTTTTCTTTGGTTCTTTCTGCAGGTAACCAATATGATAAACTTTGAAATCGATGCAATCCTTGGAAAAACCAAATGTCTTAAGACGCAAAACCTTGACATTAAAAGCTGCGAATTGGACAAAGAGGTAATTTTTTTCACCCTCTGTTCTTTATATAACCATTAAGAAAAAGTTTCAATTTTCATTCAACACTTATTGTCGTCTTCTCTTTCACAGCAAGTAAAGTGTCAGTTTTTTGTGACTTTGAACCCCCACAACGACAAACATGAGCTGAACACCAAAACATGCAACAAAGTTACATAGAAGGGTTAATACTTTTTTACAATGTCAAGATAACCAAAGATCATCCCATTATTTCCATGCTGGAGATTTTAGGTTATCAGTAACAATACATGAAGTTACCTTTAAAATGAATTACACAAAGTAGCATCTAAACCCAAAAGTAAAATCAAACTTCAATAAAATCAGTGAGGTTGTGTGTTTGTTTTGTCTCATGCAAGCTTTACTTTTAACCTATTTCCTTTTGTATTTAATCATTAGAAATCATAGTCAGGCAGAGAGAGAGAGAGAGAGAGAGGTGCAAAGCCATGAAACAGGAACAGCAGGCTTCATGATAAAAGGAAGTAAATTTCCAGCCGGCGGATTTATAGAAATATTTGAGACTATTCCTTATTTCAATACAAGAAAGTTTTAAATAAGAAATTCTTATCAAAATTAGTAATTGAATAAGACCCAAAGCAAAATACTTATATTGATAATGTTTTCTCTTGTAAGAATGAACAACTGTAACTTTGGTTTCAAACAATAAGAATAATGGATGATTCCTGGTTTCTTTTCATAAGAACACCTATAATTACTCACAATATGATTATAAGAAGAGTAACTAATCAGGCATGATTATCATAATATTATAAATTACTGCTAAATCTAAAGCTAAAGAGGTTATAGATGTGATTTTGATACTGAACTTGAAATGATGTAAAATATGTAGCTGCAATCAGAGATCACTGATGTTGTGTTGGAGGTAGATAGTAGGTGAAGGATTAGAGGAAAGAGGAACTAGAAGGTGAGCAGAGATGACCAACACCTCAGAGTTTGATGATTTGGAAACAGATTGTTGCAACTCAAACTGTTAGAAGAAAAAGACTGTGCAGGTATAGAGTTTAGGGAGACATTTGAGCAACACCAGGACATGAACACAGATATCAGGTCATAATGTCTCTAAGACATTGATGGATATGAGATCATGTATCCCAGCAGGCAGCTAATAAAACAAGCATGACAACAGTGATAGCTAATGCAAGTGTATCTATAGGGTGGAGAAACCCTATAAAAGGTGAAAGCAAAAGAGGAACCTTTGGTTGGATCCTCCAGGCAGATTTTAGCCAAAATTGAGATGGACAAAGAACTCTGCAACTTTAGTAGATCCAGAACCACAGATACTCAACGAAAGTCCTGTGCATGGGGACCAACCCATCAGCCCTGCAACATGTGGCCTTAAATTGCACTTCTGTCATCAAGTGAGTTCAGACCCCAAAGATAAAGGCAAAGACAAAGAACAAATACAAAGAAAAGGAACTGCGGCCTTCCTTCTGTGCGGTCAGCTCGCCTACATCTCAGCAGACCAGAAAGATCTTGAAACAAGGTGAAGGGGGCTTCAGATCTGAAGACAAGAAGCTGAGGACCGCTACAGAAAGTCACCCTAAGATCCAAGACCTGCAGCTCTACATCAGTACTCTTCCTGCCAGCACCCAAGGCCAGTGTGACCTCACATCCATGCAGAGACGAAAGCTCATCAGACCTGCAGTGACGCCTGCCCTGATCGATCAGCGCTGTGAGTCTCCTCCTGCTGGAACACGTTCTTCATCGTCAGGCTGGTTCTGGAGTTCAAAATTCCATACACTATCCATCTCTCAAATAGTCCCTTTTTAGTTCTCAGTGTCAGCATTAGGGAAAGATAGGATGACTGATTTTTCTGATTTGATTATTTCTGCTACTGCATTAAGCTGTACCTTCTTTCGCAAATCTGTCTTACTAATAAATATTCAGCATAAAGAAAAATCTAATAGATGTTGTGGACATTCAATTAATGAGTCACCTCAAAGTTCTTTGATGGTTGTAAAATATGTATGATGCCTGATTCTGGAGAGAAAAAGGTGTAAATCGATTTTTCTTTTCTTGGACATTTTGATGTTAGCTTGTCGATGGCTCAGTTTTATTCGCTGGGAAAATCAATCAGCAGCTTGAGGTAACTCTGCTGCTCTCTAGTGGCGAGAAGCCGTAATGTTGGCTGGTAACAATCAAAATGCATTATGGGAGATGTAGTTTGTAGTCAATTCGTGCTCAAAACCTATTTTAAGTCAATCATTGGCCTATAAAATGCTGGGGGCCACATGTGGTCCGCAGGCCTTGAGTTTGACACATGTGCATTACACCAAAGAACTGCCAATTGCTAATTGAAGTAAAGTAACTTCGATTTCAAAGAAGCCTACATTGAAGTCGATTGGCAAATGAACCATCACAAAAGAGAAAGGTTCTTATTGTCTCACTGCACCCCAAGAGATGCATAACCTACAAAAATAGTTTCTGTCTGGTTTCAAACCAGAGACCTTTTGCGTGTTAAACAAATGTGATAGCCACTACACTACAGGAACTGAACTTCTCTGCTC